TAGGAACTCAAGCAACAAGTGATAGTAATAAGATCCAAAGTGATGAAAATAGAGAAGTTAACAGAGCTGAAAAGGAATTGGTAGGATTTGGGGATTGGTTGAATTAGGAAGTAAGAGATAAAAAGTCAAGGTTGATTCAAAGATTTATGACATGAGCACTGGATAGATGAAGATGTAATTCACTCAGATAAGACAATTTTAGGGACAAATATCAAAACTTTGAGTTGCATATGAGACATCTAAGCAAACATACTGAGTATAGTTAAATAAGCAGATATGGAACTCATAACATTAGTTTATGCTGGGGAAATAAATTAGAAGTGATCAGCAAATTGATTTATTTCAAACGGCGTAACTATATGAGATCACTTAGGACATGAACATATTGTGAAAAGAGAAGGTCTAATCCTGAGAAGTGGAAATATTTAAATGCCATGTTGAAGAAAAGGCATTGTCAGCAACAGAAACTGAAGAGTTTGCCAGAGAGGAAAAAGAAAACCAAAAATGTGATATCATGGAAACTGAGGGATAAGAATATTTCTAGAAAGAGGAAATGATCACTTTGTTTGAATGCTATGATTAGATAAGTACATTGGTAATCTCAGCAAGAGTAACCGAAACCAACTGTGGCTAACATAAGCAGACACTGAATTTATTTAAAGGATATTAAGGCAGTTTATTAAATCTCTAGAAGGCATGGTAAACTAAATTGGAGTCCAGCAGGCAGAAATAATGCCCAAAATCATACTGAAGAGGTAACTGCAGAGGTAATCAAGAGAAGATAATGTTGATACAACCACTTAACACTAGCTGCCACATTTGGCACGAGGATAAGACTTAAACTGTACATTGGATACCACCTCGAACACTGCTGCCACCATCACCACACCTAAGAGACCTTCTTGAGTGCCACCATGATTCATAGGCCAGTGCATCTGACCTGCCTAGCGCTGGACACAGTTAGACTGAAACTAATGGAATGAATGGAAGCTGAGTAGGTAAAAAGAACAAGAGTACAGTTGACCCTTGAACAATGTGGGGGTTAGGGGTGCCAATCGTCCCCACCCTGCTGTATAGTCAAAAATCTGCAGATAACTTCTAACTCTCCCCAAACTTAACTACAATAGTCTACTATTGACTGAAAGACTTACCAATAACATAAACAGTGGATTTACACATATTTTGTATGTTATACATATTATATACTCTCTTATGATAGAGTAAGCTAGAGAAAAGAATGTTTCTAAGAAAATCAAAAGGAAGGGAAAATATATGTATTCATTAAGTGGAAGTGGATCATTAGAAAGGTCTTCATCCTTATCACCTTCACATTGAGTAGGTTAAGGAAGAGGAGGAAAAGGAGGGGTTGTTATTACTGTCTCAGGGGTATCAGAAGTAGAAGAAAATCTGTGTATGAGTGGACCCATGCGGTACAAACTCACATTGTTCAAGAGTCAATGCAGATACCTTTTTTAAGGCATTTGAAAGAAAATAAGAGAGCAGTAGCTGGAGGGCAGTATGGTATCCATAGAGAATTTTTTAAGATTGGAAGAATCACTGGTGCAGTAGGTCACGCCTATAATTCTAGCACTTTGGGAAGATGAGGCAGGAGAATTGCTTGAGTCCAGTAGTTTGAGGATGCCATAAGCTATAATCACGCCACTGTACTCTACCCTGGGCAACAATAGAGTGAAAACCTGTCTCAAACAAACAAACAAAAAGATTAGAAGGATCTAGTAGGGAGAAGCTAATGATATTAGGAATTTAGAAGATAAACTAAAACACAAGATTACCTGAGTAACAAACAAGAATGCTCACTATCACACTATTTTCTAACATTATTCTGGGGATAATAAATATAGAATACAAAAAAGAGAATTTTGAGATTTAAATATGAGAAAGGAAGAGGTTAAATTATCACTATTTGCAGGTTATATAATTGAATATATTAAAATCCAACCATAATTAACTAAAAACCTATTAAAATCAGAATTTAGTAAGGTGACTACAAAATTAATACATGGAAATTAGTAGCTCTCATATATTGAAACAACAATGAATTAGGAGATCTAATAAAAGACAGGATACACCTACAATAGCAATAAAAATGATAAAATACTGAGGAAGGACCTTAACAAGAAATATATAAGATCTATATGAAGAAAATTTTAGAACAGAAATTATAAAAGTGGTAGAAGAAAGCATAACAATTTTTTTCATAATCCTGGGGTAGGGGAGGACTTTCTAAGTATATCACAAAAGCTAGAAGCCATACAAGTAAAACTTTTATAAATCATTTGACTACAAAAAATTTTCTGAATCGCCCCCCAAAAATACAAAAGCTATTTTTATATAGGCATATAATTTCTACAAATCAATTTTTTAAAAATACAACATGAGAAAATAGAGAAAGGATTTGAACAGAGAAAGGGAATCACAAATGGCTTTTAAATATTTGAAGATACTCAATCTCATAAATGAAAGCCTCAGAAGCAGCCTCAGAAGCAAAAGTTTTTCTTTGCCCTCCTGTCCTACTGTCTCTGGCCTTTCATTCTTCCCTGAAGTAAGCCATGGAAACTAGAATCCTTCATTCCCAAGGAATGTCTTGGAAACCAGACCCTCTTTTTCCCTAAACCAGCCATAAAACCTGAAAATATTACGCTAACTCCCCTAACCTTTCTGTGTGAAAATTGTTCATAAAGAAATTGTCCCCTGACCTACCTTTTTGATTGTAGGTCTTAAGACCTCCGTTCCTGAGAGGGTCCTGCCTAATACCCAGGAGGAAGGATGCATGTTCAGAGAGGCCAGAAAGAATCTAGACAAACAGGTCTTACTATGTTTTCCCCACTCAGTCTATTAGCATTAGATTATAAACTTTTTGTCCAATTATGTTGTACAGTTTGTATGACTGTACATATTGTTAAACCTAAGCATAAAAGTGAACAGTTTCCCCCGTTATCTTTGTGTCTTCATTCTGAAGGCCCCTGTGCCACATAAAACTATGATCAAATACATTTGTATGCTTTTTTTTCCCTGTTAATCTACCTCTTGTTGGTGATTTTCAGTAAACTTGCAGAGGTGAAAAGTAAGTTTTCCCTTGGACACATTTGTTACACATTTTTGGTGGAATCGTAGTTTGGTTTGACCTCTATGGAGGATCATTTGGCAATATTTATCAAAATTACAATTGCATTTGCCCTTTAACCCTGTAATCCTACTAATAGGAATTTATAGGTATATTTTTATAGATTTATATTTATATAGACTTATATATTTTTATAAATTTATAGATATATTTTCACATGTAAAATATTGCACAAAATTATTCATTGCAATGTTGTTTCTTATAGTAAAAGTTTGGGGACAACTTAAATGTCCATCAATAGGGTCAGGTTAAATAAATTATGGGATAATCATAATTTATGCTATGCAGTTTAAGAAGAATGAATCAATATTTTATTAGTATTATCTCCAAGATACAGTTTTAAATGAAAAAATGAAAAAAGCAAGATATCTAACATTATGTACAGTGTGTTGCGCTTTTTTTTTGACAAATCAGAAAAAAATGTTTGTATACTTTTACTTGTGGGTGCATAGGATATATCTGACAAGACACCTACCCAATGCAAAGTCATGAAAATATAAGAAGTACAGCAAAGATGGAGTGTGAGGAGAGTAGAAGTTTGAAGTAATTATTATGAGTGTAGGAGATGAGCTGACCGTGGAAATGTAAAATTGCAAGGCAGTTTAAGGGTCAGAGTATTAAGCTGGGCATTAGAGATCCAAACTAATTCCTACCTGTTCAATTGTCTGACATTTCTCCATCAACTCCTAGCTAGCTGGGGTGAGACAAAAAGGTTCATGAAAATGAGATGTTTAACTTTTCACACTTCTTGCTAAGAGAAAGACTGAGGATGCGATGATTTCTGTGATTGGAAGGACACCCTAAGAACAGGTGGTTAAACTGCCAGGAAATGCCACGGTGGTAGGGAAAAATACCATTTGACTGTTTGCCATCATCTGTCACACAGAGACAAGAACAAATTTACAAGGATTTGCTTACACAAATCCTATTTGATTTTCTTAAGTTCTCAGACATTTTGTAAGATCCTGACTAGTTCAAGCTTCATGTATAAACAGGTTGTCAGCTTGCAAACTCTTTTTTATATATTTGTTACTCATGTTAAATTCAGTATAAGATGAATCTGTTTTGAGAGGCTTTTAAAAGGAACTTAGAAAAAGAATAGTATAATAAACGGAATTTTTAAGATATCCTACCATTTAAGCCAAACTTAGAAGTAGAACTATACCCTGAATCATGCTGATCCATCATTGTTAAAATGTTAACAGAAGAAAGACTGTATGTATTTACTATTCTTGACACACTAAACTGTTAAAAATTGAAGCACATAAAAGTAATAATACATTTTTAAGCTTTCTACCTTGAATATAGCACTCTGATTCTGTTCAATAGAACTGCTTTTGAAAAATCCTAATTTTTAAGATTGAAAATAAATGACATTTCTCAGGAACTTAATCTTCAGTCATAGCTAAGGCTCCTCTATTACTTAAAACTCTTAAAATTATATGTGAGAGGACACAATTGTCTATTTTTGTTCTGATAACATGCCCTACTATTGAAAATGAGTGAATATTGAATATTCACTCCCTGAAAGTCTGTCCTTGAAATTCTTCTTAAGAAGTGCTTTAAAAAGCCCCACAGAGGTAGTTCCTTGTTAGTGACCAAGCATTACCTCCCATAGTGATCTTTAAATAGCAACAATAAAAAGACTTCTTCTTCAGTGTTGTCATTGAAAAAGATATTTTCCTTGTACTAGGCTCAAACTCAGGGTTAGATTGATATCCTTTTGTAATTAAGTCTTAGTGGTCTTAAAATAGGTATTCTTCAGTGATAGACCAATAGTTCTGTATGTATTTGTATGTGGGAATATAAATTGTACATTCTTATAGCAACAAAAATTCTTTGGCTTTCCATATAGGTCAATGGAAAAGTCCCATTGCATTGACTAGAACCAACACTTCTGAAGAATTATGAAAATACAAAGGATTTTGCATTAAAATTATGTGATCATTTAAACAGTAAGCAAATAACAGCAAACTATGTTTAAAATATGTACTATTTCATAGTCCCATGGTACTACAAAGATAATGCTATTTAAACAATTAAAAACATAAGCTTGAAATGTACACAGTATCTTTTCAAAATTTGTTTCTGACACAATAGGGCCAATGTACTTTTTGAATCAGAGAATTCTTTGATCTATCTGAAAGAGTTCAATCTTCTTCCACTTTACACACATGAAAACTTAGGCTTCTAGGGGAGAATAGATTTTTTTTTCTCACCCATCACTAGGTTCTTGGCTCTGTCCCCTATAACAAAAGAAAAATTAGCAAGAGAAAAGCAAACAAATTTATTTAATATAAATTATACGTGACACAGAAGTCTTCCTAAGAAAGTGAAGACCCAAAGAAACAGGTAAACCTCTGTATACATTATGCTAGGTTGATAGAGAAGTAGATAGTCATGAAGATGTACAACTGGACAAAGGACATATGATCTAATGCTAATAAACTAGGGGAGCAGGCTGCTTTACCTTGTGAGAAGGCCACTGCGTATATGTACCTTCTTAGTTATCACCTGAGCCGAAGAATATGGCAGGAATTCTTAGGGACAAAGGCATGCCTCAACCACCAAGTACAGTCATGCACTACGTAACAACGTTTCAGTCAATGGTGGATTTTTTTTTTTTTTTTTTTTTCAGACAGAGTCTCACCCTATTGCCCTGAATAGAGTGGCGTCAGCCTAGCTCACAGCAACCTCAAACTCCTGGGCTTGAGTGATCCTTCTGCCTCAGCCTCCCGTGTAGCTGGGACTACAGGCATGCGCCACCATGCCAGGCTAATTTTTTATATATATATCAGTTGGCCAATTAATTTCTTTCTATTTATAGTAGAGACGGGGTCTCGCTCTTGCTCAGGCTGGTTTTGAACTCCTGACCTTGAGCAATCCACCCGCCTCGGCCTCCCAAGAGCTAGGATTACAGGCATGAGCCACAGCGCCCGGCCTCAATGGTGGATTTTGTATCTGATAGTGTTCCCATGAGATTATAATGGAGCTCAAAAATTTCTATCTGACCTACTGTGCCGCTAATCTTTACAATTCAAAGAGGTACACAAAGAGAAGCTAGAGCCAGAAGCCAGAAAATTGTCTCTTGGCCACAGGGCAGCAATTCAGCTCCTGGTAGTTTGTTTTTTCTCAAAATTGGAAGTGTATTGAAAAAGAGTTTCCTTTGTACGATGAGGAATATAAGTCATGGAGTTGAGGCAAGTATAAAAGAAAGAGAAATCTACCAGACTTTTTAAAACTTCTCCCAGACTCGACAAGGCAAAAAGGAAGATGAGATCTTGTCATCCCAATTGAGAGAGGTAACATAGTCATAAAGAAGCAATTTAATTTGTACAAAGAGAATTATCTAAAATAACCCCCATGTGAAGTAGTAATGATGGCTCTAATGGTTATTTACAGCCTGAGTACTCTGGAAACAAATAGAACTTTGAGACTGAACATTTAAGCCAGTCTGTATTTTATTAACTGAAAACCCTTGGGGAATAGTTAGGTAGAAGGTGAAGAGCGGTAGACTAGTCTACCTACAAAACATGAAACCTCATGAAAGCCTCATGGTTCCTGAGGTGATATACAGAACAACTCTGAGAGTCACTTTTGAGACCAGCTACAGTATAATTTCCATAGGTGTGCTGGATCAAATCTTCTCTATTTCCTTATTTGCTTTACAGTTAAAGGGAAAGGGGAAAAAATTGAAGCCAAATACTTCCATCTATTCTCCCAGCTTCCATTTCCACAAACCCACACAGTTTACTGAAATATAGAATCTGTAAGGGACTGTAGAGATCATCCCATTCCAATATGCTTGCTTTTTGTTGACATAGGCCACGTGTACACAGAACTGAATCAATTGACCTAAGATAACATGATGTAAAAGGGAGGATGCTATACAGGACAGGAGAAATGGATTCAAGTTCAGGACCTATCACTAAAGAGCTTGAGAAAATTGACAAATTTCTTTAGGTCTTAGTTTCCTTATCTTAAAATGAAAAGTTTGGATTACGGTAATGACTTTCAAAGAGGGTGGGTGAGTGGAAGCTTCCCAGTTGAGACCCGCTGAAATAAAATAATTTAGTTAATCCCTTGAAGTTGTAACACTACAACATTCTAAATCTGTGCCATAACAAAGCCAGTGTCTATATATGTTCTCATTCACTTCCTTGTGGTTATGGAGCAACATATTTTTAAAACATAATAAAAAAGGAGAAAGAGGAGGAGGAGAAAAAGAAGTACTTTGGGAGTGTCAGTGGAGAACAAACATGAATAATAAGTCAGTCATGAAAATATGATGACATTATAATGTGAAGGTCATTTAACCCTGCATTGATGTAATTACTCTGACTGTAATGACCCAAGTGGATCACTATATAATCAGTATAGCTTCGGATATCAGTATTTATTTCCTGGAGGATTTAAACATTTGGGTTGGTGATATGACTCATTTCAGCAGTGCATACATTGTGCAGCCATTCACCGTAGTATCAGTGAGCATATGTTACAATCTTTGATATAGTGTAAAACCTCCGTCAGGTACAAGGACTGATTTTCCCAATAATGTCAATGACCAACAGGTCAAATTCCAGCAGGAATAATGCTCAAAAACTGTATATGTTTCAAATAATTCTCTTTTTAAAATTTATTTTTAAAATTTTTTCACTGATTTTTTAAAATTTATGTTTTAAAGTATTCTTACAATTTTTTTTCAGAAGGAAAATGTAATATTTACTCTAAATCTGGCTTGACATTTAGTCATTTGGGCCTTTTTTTAAGAAGATATTTTCAGTGGAGCTTCATTGAGGGAATGAATTGATGATATTTTGCAGTCTTGAAATAAAATAGGTTACTAATGGATTTTCCCACTAATATAATTTAAAAAATAATTAACCGACTTTATTTCTTGAGTAGTTTTATGATTTCAGAAAAATTGAGCCCAAAGTAGAAAGAATTATCCTTTTTTCCCCCCTCACTCCTCAATTTGCCCCTATAATTAATATTTGCCATGTGTGGAACATTTGTTACAATTGAGTCAATATTGATATATTATTAACTAAATTCCATAGTTTACATTAGGGTTCATTCTTTGTCTTGTAACATCTATAGATTTTGACAAATGTATAATGATAATTCTCTTTTTTTGTTGTTATAACAGATCCAGTAGACTAATTAGACTAAAACATTGACATTAATTTATAAGAGCAATAAACCAAGAGATATCTTATGTAAAATTGGCTACTGGCAAAGATTCTCAACTGCCTACTACACATGGTCAATTATGTTTCACTGTACCTACCATGGTTAAAACTCTAATTTATTATATTCTCTTCCAGGAAAAATTCCCTCTCCAAGTCTTTAGTTCTATCATGACACAACTGTCACCAGGCAGAGTAACCCCTGCCTTATATGCGGGGGGCATCATGAAACAACTAGTGCTTATGTGGTTACGAGTGTTAGTTAAGTTCCTTAACTAATTTTGTCTTTGTCTTCCTGTTGCAACCTCAAAACAATAAAATTTAGTGGCAATTACATTAGATGAAGACTCAGAAAAGCTAGATACTGATATTAACTTTAATATTAACTAGATGTGAAAATTCAAGCACAGTCCTTTACCACTCTGGGCTTCAATTTCTTATAAAACGGAGGCATGAGATTAGATGATTTCTCAGGTGATTTCCAGCTCTAATGTAGTAATCCCTCATTCTCATTCATTCCCTATCCTGGTGACTTTTTCTTTACTTTCTCATCTTGCAGCCATCATCCATCCTTTCAATTTATTGCAGGCTTATGTTAGCATCACCATATCTGGAGCAGGCTTTCTGGAATCAGGCTCTTCCCTACTCCAAATTATCTCATATAAATCTGGCAGGTTAATCTCCCTGAAATACTATTTCTATCGTTGTACATTTGTGGCTCAAAATATTGAACAGTTTTCTATTACTGTTATGCTAAGCATCAAATAATAATTCACATTTGTTTCTTCTAGGGCAGAAGTTGCAAACTTAAATGTCTACAGAGGCCAAGCAGGCAAAACATAAAGCCAACCTGGTAGGTCTTGTAGCTGATCAGAGAATACATGTTTTGCTGAAAAGAAGGTTACTAAAACTTGGCTTCCTCAGAAGGCTGCCATGTGAGAAAGTGGACTCAGTGAATGCCAGCTGTATTTTTCAATAGTTCGAGAGAAAGAAATTGAGATTTCTTTGTAAAACATATCAATTTTTTAATGTTTATGACTAAATAACTTTTCTCCTTTGTGATTTTATTTTTTTTGTTAATTATGTGAAAACTACATGCCAAAGTCAAAATGATATTGCAAGTGACGTTCGTAGAAGTCTTGCTTCTATTTCTGTCCATTGCATTCTGTTTCATCCCTCCCCTTATAAGTAACTGATTTCATTAGTTTTTGTTTTATCCTTCCATCATTTGTTTTTAAAAATAAAAACATTATGTATATATACACTCCTATTAATATTTCCTTCAATTTCTTACACAAACAATAGCATACTATAAACACTGTCCTTTGTTTTTTTCACTTAGGACATTCTGGATCCATGTTAGTATATGGGTATCTTCCTCATTTCTTTGTGCAACTATGCAGGATTTTATCATGAGGATATACCATTGTTTACTTCAGGGAATGACAAACTACAATCTGAGGGCTAAATTTAGCCTGACACTTGTTTTTTATGGACTTCAAGCTAAGAATAGTTTTATCTTTCTAAATGATTGAAACAACATCAAAACAATAATAATATTTTGTGACATGAAATTTATATGAAAGTCAAATTTCAGTGTCCATGAATAAAGTTTTATTGAAACATAGCCCTGATCATTTGTTTATTGCCCCTGGTTGCTTCTGTGCTACAATGTGAGTTGAGTAGTTGCAAGAGAGATCACATGGCCCACACAATCTAAAATATTTGCTATCCGGCTTTTCACAGAAAAAGTTTGCCAACACTGGTTTATTGAGCCAGTCTCCTATTAATAGATGTTTTGGTTGTTTCCAGTTTACTGGAAATAATAAATAAATACACAAAGACTTAAAAGTATAGCCTTTGATATAAGTCATTTTGTATTATTACCCGTATATCTTATAAGAGATGCCTATAATTATAATTGCTATGTCAAAGGGCAGTACATAGGTAATTGCAGTAGAATTTGGCAAATTCCTTTCTGTAGAGATTGCATAATTTTTGCTTTACCACCAACAGTGTATGAGAATACCTGTATTTCCACCAGCCTACCTAACAGAGCATATTGTCAAATATTAATTTAAGTTGCTTTAATGCACTTGAAGATGACCACAACAAAATATGTCTAAACATAAGATGGAGTTAGTGATATGCCCATTTGCAGATATGCAATGTATTTTTGGTCAGGCTGTGTTGTGCAAGAAGATGTCCAATTTTGGGAAACAAATGGAGACTGAAAGTCGTCCTTCTTCACCTAATTTTGTGATATAGTACAGGCCTGCCTTGTTGCTGGAGAAAAACAAAAAATGCCTTTACTTAATTACTCCAACCAGAGAGAGTCACCATTTTCTAGTCTACTTAGTGGATGTGACTTTTTGCAATTTATTTGTTACATTGAGTGGGAGACTGGGCAAGGGAGGCAGCTCCACTATTTGTGACAAGCTATTGTAGGTTATTCAGTTGCAGGACTCATTTCATCTACCAATTTTTTCTACTCACCCCTAATATCTACTCTGCAGATCCATATCATCCTTAGCCAGCTCAGTTCCAGTATTCTTAATGAAGTCTTTTAACTATTCCCATTCATCTTTTAGTTTTCTTTTTAATTTCTATCACCTTGTCTATGCCTCATAGCCTGTGAATTAGGTATTTACTATTAATTAGTGAATCTGGTTCATTCTTGATTGTTTTATCTCATCACCTTATTTTGTCTCCTCCTCTCCCTTAAACCACTTTTCTCTCTACCTCCTATCCCCTTCCTGGTTACATAGCAGAGTGCTAGGAATATAGCAGATGTTCAATGTACATAGTGGATGAGTGCAAACACACACTGTAGGAAATGCCCAAATTTTCCAAAAGTGCCTGCAGAAGACACTTGGAGGCTCCCACTGGATTAACTTGCTGGAGTAAGGTTTTATATTTGAATGGGATCCAATGGTCTCTTCCCCCAGTTAGCAGGAGTTGATGTCATTTTAGAGGTAAGTGTTAGTTGTGGTTAAGATAAGCTGAAGTCAGAGCCATCAGGGCAACTGCAGATATATGGAGATGGTTGAGGAACCAACAGCTGGGGAATCAGGATGGTTTGACTGGTGAAATGCTAGGTGCTATAGGGTGATCTGTTTCCAGACAGAGAAGTAACAATGTAAGGGTGCTAGAATGGTGTCATTGGATTGTGGCTATATAGCAAGAAAGTCCTGAGGTCTAGACGGGGGTCAGCAAGCTTTTTCTGTTAAGATCCAGACAGTAAATATTTTAGCTTTGCAGGCCATAAGGTCTCCATTGCAACTACTTAACTACTGTTGTGTCTCAAAAGCAGCCATAGACAATATATAAATGAATAAGTATGATTGCATTATGATAAAACTATTTATGGACACTGACATTTAAATTTTACATAATTTTCACATTCAATTTTTTTCAATCATTTAAAAGTGTAAGAACTATGTTTATCTCATAAGCTGTATAAAGACAGGCAGTGGGCTATTGTGTAAACCCCTGATATAAAGGCACAGATCTGTCTGGAAGCTTACTACTTATTTCTGTCCATGAAACTATACATTAGTATGTTTGAATTGGGCTGTTTTAGAAATAATGTTCTTGTACAAAAATTTTCTTGTACAAAAATCCAGAATTCAAACACTGAAACAGAGCATCTTCACACAATTATGAATGAATCTACCTTAAAATTAGGTAAAGCCCTATCATTTTAATATGGTTAGTAGGTAAAACATATAGCCTAATACAGATGGAGCACTCCAAATCTGAAAATCTGAAGTCCAAATGCTCCAAAATCTGAAACTTTTTGAATACCAGCATGGCACTCAAAGGGAATGATCATTGGAGCAGTTTGGATTTGGGATTTTCAGATTTCGGATGCTCTACTAGATAATGCAAATATTCTAATGTCTGAAAAAATCTGAAATCCAAAACAATTCTGGCCCCAAGCATTAAAAATATAAGATATTTAACTTGTAATAGTAAATCACTCTCTGTTACCACTCAAGTTTCGTAATTTAAGGAAGATTTAAGTGCTGACTAAAATGTCATTTGCAAGATGAAGTTAGTACAAAACTTCAGTAAAAAGTTTATTAATTTAGAGTTTCAGATTATGATGTGATGATCAGCAATGAGTTTCAACTTTTCTTGTACAAAATCATAGTGTGTTGGGGTAGCTCTAAAATATATATTTGAAGTTATGAAATGTCTATATAGTAGTTATCCATTCATAAAAGAGAATATAATAAGCACACATCAACCTAACACTTCTTATCAATGATAAAGGAAATATTCTTTATATACTAACTCTTCTTTACACTCCTATGGTTTACATAGTACTTATACATACATTATTTTATCATGTTATATATAACTCACAACAACACTAGGTGGTTGGAAGGGCAGACATCATTATTCCTACTTTAGAAATGGAACTATAAGGCTCAGCGAAGTTAGGTGAGGGATTGAAAATTAAAGAGATGAGCCATAGATCCAGATCTTAAACTAGGGCCAGCTTCACAGACAGGTGACCTGTTCAGTTGCACAAGGCCCTGCATTTAAAGGCCCTCATGCTTGGCTTAATGTTCTACTGTTGAAATTTTGAAATTATTCATAATTTATTAAACAACAGGTCTCACATTTTCACTTTTGCACTGGGCAGTGCAGATTATGTAGCCAGTCCTAACTTAAACAAAAATCTTGTTTCAGGCCATGAATACTGACAACTGACTTGTCTTTTTCTTCTGTCTTTTTCCATGACCTTACTGCCTCGTCTTTATTTATAAGCAAAACCTGGAAAAGCTACAAAAATAAGTGTTTTGTGGTTTATCTAGAAATAATATGGAAAATATTGCTGTTATTTTTGGTGAAGAAAATAAATTTTGTATAGTTTATTTCATTCAATCTAAAATAATAAAAACTTGTTACCATGTGATCTGTACCTTTTTTTCATTCTCTAAGAATTCTTAAGATCTTTACATATGGAGTGGCCAAAGTAATCATGGTGTGTTTAATCCATTATCTTCAAATTTATTCACAGTCAGTCACCTATTGTCCTTAGACAACAACAAAGAAATCCTTTCAAAATTCTGATAGAAATGATTTTCTATCTAGAATTCTATACTTATACAAAGTAGCAAGCATGAGGGTAGACAGAAGAAAAACATTTTCAGTCAGCAAAGACTCAAAATATTAGGCTGGGCGTGGTAGCTCATGCCTGTAATCCTAGCACTCTGGGAGGCTGAAGCAGGAGGATCACTCAAGGTCAGGAGTTCAAAACCAGCCTGAGCAAGAGCGAGACCTTGTCTCTACTATAATAGAAAGAAATTAATTGCCAAACTAAAAATATATAGAAAAAATGAGCCAGGCATGGTAGCATATGTCTGTAGTTCCAGCTACTTGGGAGGCTGAGGCAGAAGGATTGTTTGAACCCAGAAGTTGGAGGTTGCTGTGAGCTAGGCTGACGCCATGGCACTCTATCCCAGGCAAAGAGTGAGACTGTCTCAAAATAAATAAATAAATAAATATAAAAAAATTTGCCTCCAGCAATACAGGGAGTAAATCAGGTAATAGTTGCTGCAACCCACAAGAGTTGTCAAGGGTAGTCCCAGGATAGCTGTGCAGCATGCCTGGAGAGCAACAGTCCCAAATAAAGCAGAAAGTTGAGAAAGGAACCTTTTTTAATTAGGGTGAGAGTGAAAGAGGAGTCATTCAGTAATTACCTGATATGATGAGACTTCAGACAAGAAAATTAAGAGCAGTTCTAAGAAAGAAACTGTAAGAATAAAGTAAAATAATTAGGAATTCTAGGAACAAAACCAAAAAGGTGTGTAAGAAAGAAAATGTTCCTCTAGTATAAGTATGTGGCTAACAGTCCAACAACTTGGTTCTGCAGTGAATATTTACATATACTCAGAATGATCTAAACACTATTAGGATATTTAAGTAAAAATTATGTAATGGTGTTGGAAGAATTAGGGAAGAGGTTGTGATTGTGTCATAAGAGCTAAGTCTTCATTTATCAGAGAAGGACACAAATAGCATTTAACATTGGTAAATTAAGAATAGCAATATAAGCATATTATTTATAAACACAGAAGCTTGTATTTTAAAAAAGGTTATCTCTAGGGAACAGGAGTTAGGGAGCTATGAAGAAAGAAATGGTTGATATTCATTATCAACCATTACCTCAGTGCTATTTTATTTTGTAGTATTTTGTAA